CACCTGGGATCAAGCAAAGGAAAAGCATTTGCTCCCTATTCTCCATTTCCCCAATCTTTTTTGAGTTTTTTGGGGTTTTTTTTGGCATCTCATAAATTGGAATAAACCATCCCTGAGCACTTGGGATAAAGTGAAGTATTTGCTCCCCGTGCTTCATTTTCCCAATGTTTTTCAGGTTTTTTTTTTTGGGATAAGCCATCCCCGAGAATTTGGGATCAAGCAAAGGAAAAGCATTTGCTCCCTGTGCTCTGTTTTCCCATCTTTTTTGAGGTTTTTTTTTGGCACCTTGTAAATTGGAMTAAGCCAGCCCTGAGCACTGGGATCACTGAAAACATTGGGAAAATTGGGATAAGCCATCCCCGAGCTCTCGGGATCAGGCAGAGGAAAAGGATTTGCTCCCTGTGCTCTGTTTTCCATCCTTTTTGAGGTTTTTTTAATGCTCTGCCACCAAAGCAATAAAATCCAGAAAAGTCTCTTTTTACTCAGCTCAAAGCCGACCACGAGGGAAGTGTAAAATTAAACTCCCTGGATTTTGGTGGTGGGAGCAGCCAGGTGAGAGTGGAGCTCTGCACCCCCARAACCCCCTCCCTTCTTCCTCCCATTCCTGTCCCATCCCCGGGCTCTGGTTTTTYCTTCACCCCATCCTTGTAGGGTGGGATGAGCCAGCAGGGAATTGGGAATTCTCCTCCTCCTTTTCCACACGGAGAGGCCGAGAAGCAGTGAAGATCTCGAATCTCTCCCCACATTTTGGGGGGCTCAGGGGGGAATTTGGTGTCCCCCTGGAATGTGTGGCTGAGTCTGGAGGCTGCGGAGCTGGGAAGGGAGGACATTCCAGAGGGAAAGGAGCTCCCTCAGGAGGTTTGGAATGTGCTCCAGATTTTTGGAATCTGCAGCTGGGGCAGGGTTTGGGGTCAGCTCATCCCAGGAAACCTTTTCCTGCAGGAAACCACCCCAAAAGGGCAATTCTGGGGGAAAGGAGATGCGGAATTTTTCCGTGAGGATGGCAGTGATTCCTCCTTGGGCAGGGCAAAACTCCATCAGATTTTATGGATGGGGATTTGGGAAATGGAGTTTGGCTGGAATTTGGGGAGTGGCGGAGCGGGAAAAGCTGCCTGGGCCCTTCAGGAAGGAGGGGAGACTGGAAAATTAAAAAAAAAAAGTTTTGGAGGAAGGGGAAGTWRGGATCATTGGGATCATTGGGATCCCACTCTTGGACAGTTTTGATTTTCCTGTTTTTTCCCGTTTTCTTTTCCTCTCTGGAAGAGGAGAGACGAGGCTGGACTCAACTTCCTGGGGTGGAGGGGGG